TGAACATAGCTGAGCAAGTGCTCTTGTGGTATGATTGAGCATTTCTTGGGTATATGCCCAAGAGTGGTATAGCTGGATCTTGGTGGAGATTGATTCCCAATTTTCTAAGAAAGCGCCATATTGATTTCCAAAGTGGTTGTATAAGCTTGCATTCCCACCAGCAGTGGAGGAGAGTTCCCCTAGTATATAGCAATAAGTAATGTCCTTTCTCTGAGAAGGGTCACTAAGAAGTAATAATCCATGGTGATATTAGGCAGGGTTCTCTGGAGTAACAGAAAACAGATAATGTATGTGTATGACAAAAAAAATGACTGATTAGATTTGCTTAGAGAAAAGTGGTTTGCAAACTTTGACAATATTCATGGTCAAGATCCTCAGTCTGAGGATCTGTATCCACTTAGACCTCACAACTAGTGGCTTCAGAAGTATTTATCTGGCACTGAACCATGGAGATTCCTAGAAGTTAGTGATATTCTGTCAGAGAGAAAGACTGACGAGCTTAGAATTCTTATGCTGGTTATTGAATGCAGTAGCAATACCGATAACAAAAGGGATTGACACACACACTCACCAAGAATCAAATGAAGCAATGTAGGGAGGTAGCATTGCTTTTTTCTCACACTTCATATTTGGGTCACACATAGGAACATCCTATAAACTCTGAGAAGAGTCATTTATGGAAAGACCCTGAAGACACATTAAAAAGTTTATTTCCTACTGGATTCTAGATCCTATCAACAATAGGATAACGATAAATAACAATAAAAATTAACTATCATAGTATTAATGGTTGGAGGGTGTGGATCAGGGTGAGTGAAGATGGGGTGGGCTAATAGCAAACTTTGAAGCCCTACCTACTAACAGCTTTACTAGTTAGCCATGGAACTGCTAGCAACTAAATCTCCAAAATGCAATCCTTTGGGAAATAAAGTATCTCTAAACCAAAGCACACCATGTCCAGAAAAAGGTACCATATTTACAGTGCTATTCTAAATAAAGTCTTCAGTACTGACTATTTTAATAAAATTTTACTGAAGATTAATTAATTTTCATAAGGTAATATTTCTTAATATAACATATCTTGGAGGATATAATTCAAATAAAATACAGTAAATTAGATCATTTGAAGAACAAATTTCAATTTATATTGTCAGATTCACCAGAAAGATTTTTTACAAACCTAAAATACATCGAGAATCTCATCTGATTTATCTCTTCTCACAACCTCTCATTCACCAGTAAGTACTGTGCATGGAAAATAGCAAAACTGCCAACATATAAGCCACAACCTTGGATGTTCACCTGCTTGTAGTTTTCTTTTTTCTTTAGAGCCACTCCTCCCAATGAGCTCAATAGACAAAGAAGATGTATTTGCCTGTTGTGTACATGTTCCAATTGATCAATCTTGTAGAAATGTATTAACCCCCTTTCAAAAACTTACTCATCGAGAAAAGAACTGAAATACCACTGTCTAATTGCAGCACACATTTTCCTCAAGCATTCTGCTACTATGAAATGATTCTCAAAGATATGCACATATATTTCAACATTTTATTGTGGAGGAAAAGTGTGAGTGCCAGACAAGTTGGGTTAACACATTTTAGCCAAATGAATAAAACATGGTATGTTTCTTGATACATTTCAATATAGATGATATCTAATATATTAACAATTACACAGACTTTCTGTTTAAAAGTGAAAATTCAAAAAAAATATCTCTTGAGGCTATAGACTCCTATAGATGGAGAAAGATGTGAGTAATCACTGGAAATAAAGTCTAACTTCTTATTCAAAGAAGTAGATTGATTTTTGAAGACCCAATTCTATTAAAACAAAGAGTGAGCTTCTCAGGGGAGGTGAGCACAGAGGAACTCTTTGGAGTACAGAAACTACATAAGCTGCAGATACAGGTAGCTTGATAACAACTGTGCATTTTCTTCATTTAGACATACTGTTTTCTTGGGATTACCAAGGATTTGCTGCTGGCATTGGCTGAGATTGTATATTTTTTTCAAATGTCAAATGGTGGCAAATTAAGTTACAAATTAATGGTCTCCAAAAACATCAATGTAGCAAATTCAGCCAGAGTTTAATAGGCAAAGACTCATTAAAAAAAACAAAGTTTGAAACTGTTGGAAAATTTAAAGTGATTCAATAACTGCTGTTAAATCATAGAGTTACAGTTATATATGAAGGGAGCATGTGGATATATTTAATATAATATAGAAAATATGAAAATACATATAGAATTTAATATATTAGTGGATGAAAAATACAATGTAACAATAGGAATTTTGATACATGTAATATGAAATAGTGAAGTGCAGATATTTTGGTTTGGATGATATAGTGTCAGAAAACAAAACATAGGGACTCAATAAACAAGATACCTATTGTAGCTTCCAAGATGACAAGGTACATGTTTAATGCAAGAATCATGTATTTCTGAAAATAAATTTGGGGGAAAGGGAAAGGGTTAATGGCTACAGTTTATAGTGCTTCAAATACTAGAGCAATCCAAGAGCCATATGTTTGTAAAATCAAAACCAAGAGTATAATTTGATGATTGAGTTGTATTGTAACTGGCCCAAGATCCTCAATTTAAGAAACAAACAAGTTCAATTTTCAGAAGACATTTTAGTTCCAAAACATTTTTTATTCCTACACTGATAACTATAGATTCTTTCTGGCCTTAACAAAATAATGTAGCACTTGGGGAGAAAAATGCATCCTAGTAGGCCAGCACCAGAAGCCAAGATAGAAAATACCTCAGTGGCCACCACAGCCTTGCCCCTGGTGCTTTGGTAGACAGGAAGGAAGGTGACCCAGACACTACAAAACACCAGCATGCTAAATGTTATCAACTTGGCTTCATTAAAAGTATCTGGGAGGTTTCTCACCAGGAAAGCCAGGGTGAAGCTCCCCATTGCCAGGCAGCCCAAGTATCCCAAGACACAATAAAAGGCAGTGACTGAGCCCTTGTTGCACACAATGATGATGTGATCATATTCTGAGCGTTCATCTATGTCAATAAAAGGAGGTGATGTCCCCAGCCAGATGCCGAAGGGAATAAGTAGGATCAGAGTGCAGATGGGCACTATGAAGTTAGGTACTCTTGATATCAGGAACCACCTCATCTTTCTTCCTGGAGAGGTAACTCTGAAGGCCAGAACCACAGTAACAGTTTTGGCTAAGACAGTGGAAATGGCTACAGTGAACACAACTGCAAATACAATCTGCTGCAGAATGCAAGTGGCTGTGTTGGGATGACCAATAAAGATCAAAGAACTAAGAAAACAGAAAGTGAGGGAAATAAGCAGAATATAACTAAGTGTCAGATTATTAGCTTTCACAATTGGAGTGGCTCTGTGTTTCACAAAGACACCAAGAACAGAAACTGTCAGTCCAGAGAAGCACAAAGACAAGGAGGTTAAAATCATCCCCAAGGTGTCTTCATAGGATAGGAAGGTCACACTTTTATTAATGCAGTGAATTCTCTGTGTATTGGCATATTGATTAACTCCACACCTTAAACACTGCTCCATATCTGTTGTGAAATAAAAAAAGTTTGAGGAATGTTTATTAGTAGGAGACTAGGAAATGAAGAGATTCCCCAAAAGACATCTCTTGTCACCAAAGGAAATCTTCAGTACTTGGAATGGGTTATATCTAATGGAATTGACCAAAGGGGCCACATTGACTTTTTTTACACTTCACAAACTAATAGCAAGGTGCTATTGCTGAAGACAATGCCCAGGAAGCATGTTAAACACAGAGAAAATGATGGGATCCCTAACTAGAGCCTTCAGTCCTAATAACTAATGTTAATAATACTGCAAGTTACTCTGATCTACCAAAGGATGATGTAAATGGCACCCAAGCTACAAACCCTTTAATCCGAAATGGTGACCTGTAAGATACGTAGTTGCAAAAGTGGCAAAAATGTTGTGGGAATAATCAACCGCTATTGATTCATATTTAAGGTCAACTCAATGAGACGGAACCTATGCCTGACACTGCTCATGTGCTCAAGAACAAATGATAAAATAGGCCATAGATTTAGGAGAAAACCACACTACAGTTTTGCTAGTTGCAGCAATAAAATGACAGGTGACAACATTCTGCTATACTAATATATTACCATCCTGCTCGACAATTGTCAGAAAAGCTTCATCTTGCAGTAGATTGGAACAAATACAAGGACCCAGAACTAAACACTATGCAGAGAGTGAAAAACTTAGAAGGCTCAGCCCTAAATGCAATATCTATCAAATCCTCCCCTCAGGGCTCAAAGATCTTTGCTGAAAAGGAAGCTGAAAGTGTGAAGTGTGTAAAAGTCATTGTTGATGGAAGGCACAAAAGGAACAATGCCTGATAGGCACACTATGACTGACACATATAAGAACTCAATCTGTGGCTGAATGCATGAGGCTGGCACAACTTTAAGCAAGATGGGGTTCCAGGCTAAGAGGGAAAGTGGACCCAAGCCCCCATACGTATGCTAGAAGCTATATCTAATTAATAACTGCTAATAAAGGAAAAATTAATTTTCTCCAACAGAGTCTCATTGGGTAAATCATATTTAAGTGAAGATCTTATGGCCATCAATAAATGAATAACAAAACATGTTTTTTTAGGGGTTTTTTTTGTTTTAATTTTTGTTTTGTTTTGTTTTGTTGTGGTTGTTTTGGTTTGGTGTTCTGGGCTTTTTTCTTTTTTCATTTTTGTCTCACAATACTTTTTCAGAGCTTTTTTCTTTTTTCTTACAGGTATTTTACTTGTATATCATGGTTTCTGATTCAGTTCCTTTATGGGATTTCTCAGTGTGTGACTATGTGTATCACATTCTTAGGCTTTTTTAATGACTCTATTTTGTCCATCTATGCTCTGTCTTATTCTGGTTTGTTTAGCTTTTTTTTCTTCTGTTGTATTTTATTTTAGTTTTTATTCCTCTTTATTTTCTAATAGAGATAAAAAGAAAAGCAAGATTTGGATCAGTAGGGAAGTGGAGAATATCTGAGAAGAGTTGAGAGGGAAAAAAACACAATCAGAATTTATGGTATGAAAAATAATTTCCAAAATAATGAATTTTATTTTAGTAATCTTTATTACTAAAAGGCCTGAAAAATCAATATAAAAATTGCAAACCAAAATGAAGCATACAATTAGCCTATGCAATTTAATTAACTTATATATAGTTACAATTTATATTGGAAAAAGAAACAGGAAAGTTTCACATTCAATTTTACAGTTTCATAACATTATATATTTTATACACTCATCCACCACCAAAAACCATGACAAAATTAGAACTAGGGAAAAGTTTCAATGGAATATTTTAAAAACAGAAGATCATAGAGCAATATACTTCAACTTTCAAAATACCACAGTTGCCAACTCAGGCAATCTACCAAGCAAAACTATCTGCATAGTTGAAAGAGAAAAAATATCTGTTCAAGATATAAACAGGTTTAGTGTGCATGAAATCTTTAGCCTGTTCTACAGAGAATACTAGAATTAATATTTCAGGCTGAAAAAAACTAATTAGCATTTCAAGGAGAGTATAGAAAAAAGTAATTGAAGTGAAAAATATGACTAAGGATATAAATAGTACAAAATCATCAAGATGACAGTGATCAACTCACATTTTTCAGTAACTTTAAATGTTAAAATATTCAATTCCCCAACCAAAAGACACAGGAAATTTAAATCCATTAAGAAACAAAAGACATACTTTCCTTTATCAAGAAGAAATTCAACTTGTCCTCAAAGTCAGACACCACCATAGAATTAAAGAATTGGAAAAACAATTCCAAACAAATGAGACTAGGAAACAAGCTGGTGTAATCCTCTTAAAATCTGACAAAATGATTTTCAAACAAATTTAATCAGAATACATGAAAAAGGATACTTCATTCTAATCAAGGGAATAATAAGCCAAGAAGACAATACAATCTTATGCATATGAAGGCCACGAACTGGCACACCCAATTTATAAAATAACATATTACTAGAAATTAAGATACTAATTAACTCCAATTCAGTATTATTGGTTTCAGTATCTTTCATTGTCAAACACACAGCTCATCTAGACAAAAATAAATGGAGAGCCATAAGAACTAAATGACACTATACATTAAATGTACCTCATGTATACTCCAACCAAACACTAAAGAATATACATTGCATCTAGCAGCCCATGGACCTTTCTATGAAATAGATGACAAGTCACATATATTCATAACACAAAACAAAAGCCAATAATGCAATAAAATTTTAATAACTCCACATATTCTACTCATAATATACTGAATTTTCAACCCAACAACAAAAGAACATCTAGAAATTTTGTAAACTGTTAGAGATTGTATGGCACACCATTAAAGAATAAATGTGTTATGAAGTAAACAAGAAGGAAAGTTAAAATTTTCTGAAAACATATAGAAAAAAAAACACAAAGCACCAAATATCTTAGAGATCCTAAAATTAGGGCTATGAGGGAAATATATGTGCCTGCAAAAAAATCAAATATTGTACAAACATGTCCTTTAATTTTTCAACTAAAGAATTGGGTAAACAAAAAAATAAACAGTCCTAAATCCAGTAGATTGGACTATGTAATAAAAACCTGCCCAGAGAGAAGGGGACTGGACTGAGTCTATCAGGTCGATCCCAGTCCTCGGGGGAGACCTTGATCTGGAGATGGGAATAGGGGGTGGGCTGGGGGGAAGGGGGAGGGCAGGAAGGGAGAGAACAAGGGAATCTGTGGCTATTATGTAGAACTGAATAGTATTGTAAAATAAATTAAAAAAAAATTAAAAAAAAAACCTGCCCAGAAATTAATGGTATAGAAAGCCAGGCAGTGGTGGCACACACCTTTAATCCCAGCACTCAGGAGGCTGAACCAGGAAGATACCTGTGAATTCAAGGCCAGCCTGGTCTACAGAGTAAGATCCAGGACAGGCACCAAAACTACACAGAGAAACCCTGAATCAAAAAACAAAACAAAACAAAACAAAAAGGAAAAAGAAATGAATGCAATAGGAACAAAAACAAACAAGAAATGAAATTAAGAGCTGGTTCTTTGAAAACATAAATAATCTTGAAATAATCTTACCGTAATTAAAGAAACAAACAAGCAAACAAAAGAGTCAAAATATACAAAAATTGGAGATAATTAGCAAAATATACAACAAACACCAAACAATTTCACAATGTTATAGGGAATAGTTAACAGCCTACATCTCATTAGACTAAAAAAAATTAAAGAAGCAAGTGGATATCTATACAGCTCTGAATGACAAAAAAAATCTAAGAAGTAATGAACAATGCAAACATACAAACATAAATAAGAACTAAAACCAGTACTTCAGTAATTATTCCAATAGATAATAATAGAAGGAATACTTGCAAATTGCTTTCAAGATGCCAAAGTTATTCCAATTACAATGCAGGATAAAAATTTAACAACAATGAAGAATATAATTATAAACCAATATCATTGATGAAATTGATTCCTATCTCTCAATAAAACAACTCCAAAACAAATATCAACATAGAGCAAACAGATCATCCAACCAAATCACTTTGGCAAGTCAATAAAAACAGTTCATCATACAAATAGGTTTACAGATAAAAATAACATGATCACTCCAATAGTTACAGAAATACCATTAATAAAATTCAGTCCATCATTATACTTAAAATTCTAGAGAAAAGGGACATAAAAGAATATACTTCAGCCTAATTAAGTATATATGTGACTAACTCAACGCCAATATTGTCCTAAAGACGAAAAAGAAAAACTGTTACTAAAATCAAGAAAAGGTCAGGACAGTTTACTATGTACACTCAACTACAGTGGTTCTAGTCATAGCTATAAAAATGAAGAGATAAATCACTTCTCGGCCTTTTGGCTAAGATCAAGTGTAAAAATGAAGAGATAAAAAAATTAAGGGCTATAAATAAGAAAATAATTCAAATTATCTCTCTTTGCATATGTTATAGTACAGACAAAAGGGTCAATAAATAGAAGAGAAAACTTAATAGAAATGATAAACATGTCATTATACAAAAGTGTCAGATAAAAAATCAGCCTAAAAAAATCAGATTTTTAGAGACAAATACATATATGCAGAGAAAGAAATGTTGGACATGATTCCATTACATTCGAGTTTCACAAGATAAAAGATCAAAAATAAGGGCCCCTTATACATCACATACAACCACTACTCCAATTCATGTTTTGGACACCTTTTATCAGGTTCTAACCAGATAAATCTATCTCATCCTTTCCTCCACATGACTACCATCCCTCAGATCTAGACCCAACATCCACTGTCCTGGCCTATTCTAGACAACCTATCTACTTTACTCCAATGTTCATTGTCTGAACACAATCCACACCTCCCTCCCACAGCCTACATATCCCTTGAATACCACACCAAAACTCTCCAACAAGGCAGATCCTACACATCTTGTTTCTATTTCTAGAAATATGAATCTGCTTGAGTCTCCCCTTCACACATGCAACCAAACCCTTAGATAAATCCTTGGCCCAATCCATTGTTCTGGCCTAGACCAGAGAACTCTGCTTGCACTATCCACATACTCTGTAAACAGATCTGTACATAGATCCCAAATGCCAGTCCAGTATACTGTATCCATCTCATTTCATTCCTCTAAAGCAATCTCCAACATTTATGGCCAACCCAAACTACATATCCTGTGTTCTATTCCATCCCACTTTTTCTATATCAGTGAGTGAAATGACAAAATGATTCTACATATATTGAACAAAATGAACTACATATACAAATAAAATAAAAAGATCATGACAGTATCCCACCCTCTCTGAATTCATCAGTCTAAGAGAAATGGCCTCCCACAAGAATAACCCAAATGAAACAAGGGACAAAGAACTTGACAGAACAATCATTAAACACCATCAAAGAATTGAAGGAGTTGAAAGTAGACATGAAGAAACAGCTCAACAATTTTAAAAATCATGATCATAGAGAGAATAACACCAGAATTATCTTTGTAAATATAAAAACATAAGGCTGGTTAAAACGATAGAGACAACCCAGGATTTGAAAACCAATTTATTAATGAAATAAAAACTTTGAAAAGAACTGAAGCTGAAATGCAGGTGGGAGATTCATCTAATTTTTAAACAAACAAGACAACAACAGGAATTCTAGTCCCCTGACATACACAGTGATATCTTCTCCAAAAAAATATAATCATCAATTCAAAGTTGTGTTTGTGTTTTGTACATCATGCATTTTTGTTCTCTTATCTTAATTATAGAATTTTAAAGTAAATATCTAAGCACAGGGAAAGTTATTCGGTTTTGCAGATATTTTCTAATACTTCTCCATTTCTTGGATTTCAAGAGGAATAATAATTAGATCAGATAATTGTGTCCATAATGTTTATACTTACTTGTTTCATTAGAAATCTCATTTTCGGGGCAAGGGGTACAATCAAAGCAACAAATAGTCTTTCCTTCCACATGTGATTTCCTGAATCCAGGATGACAACTCTCACTGCATAGTGATTGCGGGGTCTGAGGAAAATCAGAGATGCACTAGTAATTCCTCCATTATTTGTGCAACTAACAATAAATATCATGACTCAGTGAACAGAAACTCTTCAATATAACATTGTGTTTTCAGTGTAACTGATCCTTTAAAAGTTGTTCTTGTTTGAAAATATGTTCATGGCCTAAAGATACTGCTCTAACCATGATACTCTCTGAGAACTGGTGGAAATTGTAAGATTTGGATCCTGATAAATGCAAGTTTTCACTAAATTGATGCTTTGAGTGTGGATACTTTAAACCTGGTACCAGATGTTTTTCACTTGCTACTTGACTATCGTGTGGAGAATAATTTCCTCTGACTTATACTTCCATTGTAATATGACCTACCATACATGAAAAATATGAATAAATAACCATGGGACAAAACCCACCCACACTATGCATGTTCTTACAGGTTCAGTTCTTTGAACAGTTTTATAGTGATAAATGTTAATGAAGAAATTTACATGGATCTTATGAAAGACATAAATGTTATGCAAAGATTGACAAATACACAAGACCAATTCTATTAGTGTAAATAAAAATCCGTTAAATTATAATTGAGAAATGTACATTGGAGACCTAAACAGAGCAACCAGAAATCAAGAATAATAAGACCAAGAATATGATGCTAGTTACTTGTTTGTAGTTGAAAAGGTTATGTTAGCTTCCACCAACCTCTGTGAATCCTAAGGCCCATTCTATCATATCCTCATGTAAGGACAATTGCTGACCAAGTAAAGCAAATGAAGAAAATTTTCCCACTTTCAATATGTGTACAAAATTTGTTGGAAAATGGCAATAGTTGAGGATATCGTATTCTGCTGCAGATTTTCTTTTTTCATCCAAAATCAGTTGGTTAGAATCCAAATGGTAAGACTGAATATTTCTTATAAAGAAGTGCAGCTATGAGAGATGAATGGTTCAGGTTAACAGAAAGCAGCATGTGGGAAAGCTTTTCATCTCCTGTATGCATTATGTCACAATGTAGATTTAGCACAGCAATAAATAAAGTATAACAAGTTCAATGGTATGAAAAATAAAATACAATATTTTCAAGTTCAGTAAGATGAAACAAAATGAACTGTGAATCAGAACAAGATTAACTGTGGTTCATTCAAATCTAAATAGTGTAGTGAAAGCTTTACATATCCAAAGATGACCTTGATGTACCTAATACCATAAATATGCTCACGTGGTTGTTATTACATAAAGTCCACTCTAAAGAGATAATTTATATACAATACCCCTTTTCTTTGGGCAGCATTTAGGCATTCCTACAGTTAGGCTGTATATGGTCATCTCTTGAGGAATTTCCAATCAAATTGTCATTTTTATGTAGAAAATAATTTCTACTGAACATGTAGAACTTATTTAAATTAAATGAATAAACCATAGGATGAGGGAGATAGAACAACAGATGTGGATGATGAGACCATGCTGGAAAACATAATTTCAATCCTCAGAACCCACATAATAAAGAAAGAAATGACTCTAGCAATTTGGCATCTGATTTCCATGTGAGTTCTGTGAAAACCAGGCCCAAATGTACATTGGTGTAGTCACACACAGAAACACACACACACACACACACACACACACACACACACACACACACACACCTGTAAATTTTACAAAAAAAAAATAAAGTGTTTAATGCTGGTCCTTTGTTCTTCAATATATCATTGGCAGTCTTATTCTGACTTATTGTAAAGTGAAAAAGGAGTTTTTTCCTATGATTTCTATAAAAACACATCCTAAACTGTTCACTTTCTGCTCCCATGAATTCTTTCTTTAGAAAATTATCTTTCTTATAATTTATGCCATCCAAAAAATGTTCATTACCTTCCAGGGGAAATGAATCAGTTCCTTTACACCACCTAGTCCCTGAAATTCAACTTGGTGAAGTAATATCTCATAAAGAATATGGGCCACAGCATACACAGCATTGTATAGGTTGTAACTCTCCTCACTTATGGCCATATCGATAACTGGATAAGGTAACATTTCCAAGGAAGAATTGAGTGGACAGTTCTCCAGTATAGTACAGTCATACTTAGAAAATGAGCAGGCAAAAAAGAAAAACCACAATATAGCTAAGTAAATGTCATTGGGGTATTTAGAGGGGTTAATAGTATGGATAAATTTTCTAAAACCTGAGATTTCCTTATGGTGGTGTGAAAACATGAGAGAACCATGAAACGGATGAAGAAATATACTCCATTGTATTTTGGAAGAATGATATGGTGAGGCCATGACCCAGACTTTGTGTGTCATTAAAAATCTTTCTACCATGTGAAAGAATGTAATCAGAGAATCAGAGTCAAAATAGACTATAATCACATTCACTGATGATTTCAAGATCTGATGATGATACGACCAGGAATTTGGAGATACTGACAATTCACTGATTGATATAATTTCCACAAAGGCCACACAGATACTGTTCTTGTCCATTTCTGTTCTAAAGTCTGACCAAAACTGAATGTTTCTTTCATCTTCTGAGATATACAGCCCTACCCAGTTCCAGCGGAAATGAATCAGTAAAGAAATCATAGCATGGGCCAGAAATGTGTCCTTTGGTGCCATCTGATATAAAGAAGTTAAATGGATATTGCCACTTAGGATGGGATCATGACGTCCAAAGGTGACCTAAGGGAATAAGAGAGTTAATAATAATAATAATATGAAGATGAGTCTCACACATTTATGAGACCTAATTTGCACCACACAATAGCTGCTTTGGGAAGGAAGATTGACTTACCTCACAGTTATAGTTACCTTCCTATTCCTCAGCTTTTTTTGGAATATTAATAAGTAGACTCATATTCTGAAACATACATTGTCTTTTACAACCTCTACCACCAGTCTATTCCTAATAAAGACCACTGAGAAAGTAACTTTAAACATAATTTTTGCATGATGCATGAATTCAGTCTCTATTTTTCATTTTCCTCATGAATATGTCATTATCACTGAATGAGTAATCAATTCATTTCACTCTATGCCTACAATACTCACCTGTGGAAATTTGTACAACTCAAGCAATGATCCAATAAGAGCGGAGGTTGTCCATGATGGTCCTGTAAACACTGTTACAGATTTTTGCTCTTTTCTACAATTGTAATTAGGAATCATTCTGTCAATACCTGATAACCACTTTAAAGAAACATACATTATGTCTGCATCAATAAAAGCGACATTATGCACATCAAATCCCAAAGTTATGTTGGGTAAAATATGGGGGTTTCTGTTGATCTCTTCAATAGCAAAGAGGAAGGACAAAAAAAACAGATAGGTCTTGGCCTTAAACCTATGAAGGTGAAAAGAAATAATTAGGAGGATACAAGTCATGATTTCATTTAATAAGTTTATACATTGTAGCTCATCTACCTACCAATTTAATATATTGATTTTAATTTACTGACATTTATTAATTGTACAAAATAATGGATTTTATCATTAGAGCTCATAGGTATTTATAATAATTTATAATAAAATTTTATCTTTTTCAACCTCCTTTAACAAAATATTGGTACCTGTCTTATGGTTCCCATTCCTCTTCTGTGAGTTCTTCTGATACTTTGTTGTATTATCTCTATTATATTTAATTTAATCATTAATGTTAAATGTATACATACTTATAACTATGTGACTGAAACCTGCTGATTCCATTTAGTCTCTCAGTTGCTTCTCTCTATGTCCTGTAGAATGTCTGGCAGTTTCTTCTATGAAACAGGAACCTGAAGGACCACCTCACCTTGCAAAGTTCAGTGGTCACCTTCCTATGGATCCTGCATGTCCAGTTTATATACATCAATCAGTCAAAATAAGGGCACTTTTTTGCCCAGTGGATAACTTTTGCCACAAAAAAAGCAAACTCCATAATGAGTTTCTTCAATGCCCACCATCTTTCAGCACAGTGCTTAAATAGGGATGCTTAGTGGTGGAGATTTCCAGGGTGAAGTTTTTCAGGGTGGGAATTAGTCAGATTTCAATCCCTGAGCTTTGAGAAGTTCAGAGACTGGCTGGAATTCATGCTCAGAGATTGGTTGGTTTTGTGCTCAAGGATTGGTTCATTTTCCTACCCAGTTACTTATTGCTTTCATGCTCAATTGGTCAGAGGCAGAATGTGTTTCTTTGGTTCTGGTTTCAGAGCCAAGGTGTTTTTTTCAATGGCCATTTTTAACATTTTGGCTCTAGTTTCAGGACCAGGGTGTGTTTTTTTGTTTTTGTTTTTTGTTTTCACTGACTCTGATTTCAGGAACAATGCGTGCTTCTTTGGCTCTAGTTTCAGGGTTACGTTATATTTTTTGCTCTCTGATTTTAGGGCCAAAGTGTGTTTCTTTCACTGGCTCTTTTTGCAGAATCGGGGTGTATTTCTTTGCCTACTGGTACCTTTGGTTCTGGTACTATAGTTACCAGAACCTCAGGCTACTTAGGCCAGAAGAACAGAGAGGAAGGAAAACCAAGGAACAAAATAAGCATCCAATAAAGGTAAACATGGATCTCCAGTTAGACATGTATTCATGCCAAATACAGATGCCTATATGCCAGTGGAAGAACAAAATTAACAACCCAAAGGGCACTATGGCATCACCAGAGCCCAGCTATTCTAGAACAGCAAGAAATGAACATTGCAAAACAGCTGAAACACAAGAAAATAACCTTAGAAATAACTTCATGAAGATGGTAGAGTTCCTCAAAGAAGAAATAAAAAGACATTCCCCTAAGAAAATGGAGGAAAAGATAACAACAACAACACCAAAAATAACCTGGTGGAAATAGATAAATCCCTTAAAGAATGCCAAGAAAAAACAAACAGGTAAAGTAAACTGTTCAAGACCTGAAAATGGAAATAGAAACAATAAAGAAAACACAGACAGGGAACTCTGGAAATGGAAAATCTGCATAAGTGAAACAGAACTACAGATGCAAGCATCAACAACAGAATGCAATAGGTGGAAGAGAGAATCTTAGGCATTGAAGATACAATGGAAGAAACAGATTCATTGGTTATGGAAAATGTTAAATCTAAAAAATTCCTAAACTAAAAAATTTCATAAAATCTGAGACACTGTGGAAAGACCAAAGTTAAGAATAATATGAATACAGAGAATCTTCCCTCTGGGATATACGCCCTGAGGCACAATCTGTGCCCCTTACTCCATCCATTGATGCCCCAGTTGAAGGCCAGCAGGGAAGATTCCTGCAGGCACACCTCCCCCACCAACAACCCCAATCAGACCCTGCAATCTACAAGACCCACTCCCTATCCTAAACCCATCCCCCTGCAACCTCAGCGGCTCCCTGAGACACAGAATCCACCAGCTCTGATTGGACCAAGAACAACTCCCTGGGACAGGTAATCCTCTAGATTTGATCAGAAGAAGAGTGGCTCACTTAGACGCAGAATCTGACAGCTCCAATTAGACCAAGAGCTCAGACTGGACCAAGAATGGTGCTCTGAGACACAGACATAGCCAGCACAGATTGGACCAAGAGCAGCTCCCTCAGACACAGGCACTATTGCACCTATTGGAGAAAGAGATGGGTAGATGCCAGTGAAAAATACGTATAACAACATAAAGAGCAATATAGCTCCACCAGAACCTAGTGATTCTAAATAGCAAAACCTGAACATCACAATGTAGAAGAAGCAGAAGAAAGTGACCATAAAAATCACTTTATAAAGATGATAGGGACATTTAAAGAAGAAATAAAAAATTCCCTTAAAGAAATTGAGAAAAAGACAAACAAAAAATTGGAAAAAAAATCAATAAATCTTTTAAAGAAAACCAAGAAATAGCAATTAAACAGGTGAAGGAAACAAATCAAGATATGAAAATTGTAATAGAAGAAATGAAGAAGACACAAACTGAGGGAATGCTGGAAATAGAAAAATCTAAGTAAGTGAACAGGAACTATAGATGCAAGCATAACTACCAGAATACAAGTATGGAAGAGAGAATCTCTAGTGTGATGGGTACAATAGAGGAAATAGATTCATGACTCAAAGAAAATACTAGAGGCAAAAAGTTGTAACACAAAAGGTCCTGGAAATCTGGAACACTATGACAAGGCCAAACATAAGAATAATAGGGATAGAAGAAGAATTCCAACTCAAAGGAACAGAAAATATATTCAAAAAATCATAGATGAAAACTTTCCAAACTTAAAGAAGGAAATGGCTATGAAGGTACAAGAAGTTTACAAAACACCAAGTAGATTGGACCAAAAAAAAAAAAACTGTCCCCTTGCCACATAATAATCAAATCACTAAATATACAGAATAAAGAAAGAATATTAAGAGCAGCAAAGGAAAAAGGCCAAATGACTTAAAAAAGGCAGACCCATCAGAATAATACCCAACTCGTCAATGGAGACTCTGAAAGAGAGGGACCTGGACAGACATAATGCAGATATTAAGAGAACATGGATGCCAGCCTGGACTACTATACCCATTAAAACTTTCAATCACTATAGACAAAGTACACAAAATTCCAAGACAACACCAGATTTAAACAATACCTATCCACAAATCCAACCCTACAGAAAACACTAGAAGGAAAATTGCAACATAAGGAAGTCAGATGCAAACACAAAAACACAGGCAATACATAACCCAAGAGCAGCAAATGCCAAAGAAGTAAAATAAACACACACTACCACAAAAAGATAACAGGTATTAACAACCACTGGACTTTAATATCTTTTAATATCAAGGGACTCAATTTGCCTATAAAAAGACACAGGCTAACAGAATGGATACAAAAACAGGATCCATCCTTCTGCTGCATACAAGCAACATACCTCAACTTCAAAGACAGACACTACCTCAGAGTATAAGGCTGGGAAAAGACTTTCCAATCAAATAGATTTAAGAAGCAAGCTGGTGCAGCTATCCTAATATCTAAAAAAAAATAGACTTCAAACTAAAAGCAACCAAAAGAGATTGGGAAGAACATTACATATTCATCACATGAAAAATCCAACAAGATAAAGCCTCAATTCTGAATATTTACGCCCCAAATACAAGGACACCCACTTGTGTAGAAGAAACATTACTACAGCCTAAATTGCATTCACACCCCACACACTAATAGTGGGAGACTTCAACACCTTACTCTCCCCAAAATGGACAGGTCTGCCAGACAGAAAACTTAACAGAGAAATAAGGTTCTAACAGATGCTATAAATCAAATGGACTTAATAGATATCTATAGAACATTCCACCCTAACACAAAAGAATATACATTTTTCTCAGCACCCCATGGAATCTTCTCTAAAATCAACCACATATTCACTCACAAAGCAAATCTCAACAGATATAGAAAAATTGGAATAACCTCCTGTATTTTATCATCAGACTACCATGGCTTAAAGTTAGATTTCAACAATAAAAGTTACAGAAGGCCTACAAGCTCATGAAAACTGAATAATGCTCAACTGAATCACCAATGGGCCAAGAAAGAAAGAAAGAAAGAAGGAAAGAAAGAAAGAAAGAAAGAAAGAAAGAAAGAAAGAAAGAAGGAAGGAAGGAAGGAAGGAAGGAAGGAAGGAAAGAAAGAAAGAAAGAAAGAAAGAAAGAAAGAAAGAAAGAAAGAAAGAAAGAAAGAAAGAAAGAAAGAAAGAAAAAATTAAAGACTTCTTAGAATTCAATGAACTTATGGGATGCTATGAGAGCAGGAAAATAGCACTAAGTGCCCACATAAAGAAGATGGAGATATCTCATACTAGTGACTTAACAGCACACCTGGAAGATCTAAAACAAAAAGAAGAAAACTCACCCAGAAGAAATAAAATCCAGGAAATAACCAAGTTGAAGGCTGAAATCAATAAAATAAAAACAAAGAGAAAAATACAAAGAATCAATGAAACAGAGTTGATTCTTTGAGAAAATCAACAAAGTACACAAATCCCCATCCAAACTAACCAAAAGGTAGAGAAAAAACACCCAAATTAACAAAATCAGAAATGAAAAGGGAGACATAACAATCGACAATGAAGAAATACAGGGAATCATCAGGTAATACTTCAAAAATCTGTACTTCACAAAATTGGAAAATATGAAAGAAATGGACAATTTTCTGCATATGTACAACATACAAAAATTAAATCATTACCAGATAAACAATATAAATGGACCTATAACCACTAAAAAAACAGAAATAATCCTTAAAATTCTCCTAACCAAAAAAAGCCCAGGACCAGATAGTTTCAGCACAGAATTCTACCAGAATTTCAAAGAAAAGCTAATACCAATACTCTTCAAATTGTCCCACACAATAGAACCAGAAGGAATATTACCAA